TAATAATAATATAGGTATATATTCGTATGTAAGCGAGTAACATACACGCACGTACACACATGTCATGATAAATAAATAAAATAAATATATAATAATAAATAAGTAATGATGATGATAATAATAATTAAAAATGGCCGAAATGTTATGTTCCACGGTATGACGTATAATACCTCCGCGACAGCGGGTGGCATTTTGTTTGTTATTATTTGCTATAGTAATAGGTACGTAATCAATGTCATCCTGCCGGTTTCGGCGGACCGGACATCCTTCCATCATCATCGTCGTCATCACCGGCGTCTCTTGACCTGCGGCGCGGCGTACGGCGAGTAGTTGACCGCGCCTGATGACTTGGCGTGGCCGGCGTACGAACCGTAAACGCCGTACGACTCGGTGGGCGACGTGTGCCATGGGGTCTCGACGATCTTGTACGACGGCGGCTGGCTCTCCCGGTTCTTCTTCAGCACCATGATGAACTGTGCGATCTGGATGAGCACGCTGATCAGGCTCAGCCCGACGCTCTTGAACGCGAACACATGTCCGATGGCCGCCATCAGCGTGCTAAGCACCATTTTCACGTAGCTCAAGCCCATGTGCATGGCCTCCATCTTGTGCTTGTTGCCGCCCTTCTTGCCCCTGGCTGAAACCAACGGTTCGCGGCCATTAAACATCATTATAATAGCAATAGTCAATAATATAATATACACGTATAGATGGGTAATATATAATAACGATTTGAGGGTTGGTGCTCAGTGATACGAATCATTTTCAGAGGACAAACTCAGAAATTTACCAGCCAGCACCAACCCCGCACCGTTAATTATAACGAGTTTTATGAATTAATCTTCATACAATATTACCTACATTTATAATATAATTATGTAAACTTTACCAGCTACTATTATAGGATTCACCATATAAGTACACACTGCAAACTCACCACTAAATTATTTTTGTTGGCAAGTGACCCTATAACCTAACACCTAACCAGAAATCTACACTACTGGGGGTGCATAGCCTCCCAAAGGATTCTTTAGCCCCCCCCCCCCCAAGACCAATTCATTTTTTGAGAAACCATTTTTTCTTTCATAATAGAAAATTAATAATGATTTAAAATATACTTTATGAAATTTTAGATTCTAAGAGCAGCGATGAATGTATTAATTTTACAATGATGTGTGTTTTTTGTGTCCGTCATCATCCTAGTGGGACAGTAAAAGTGTTTCGATTTTCTTCAACAACAACTCTCATGGTAGTAAAGTGAATTTAGTTATGGTACTTTGGGGGGTCAAAAGTAAGAAATTTTCAATAGTTTTAAAGGAAAAAAAAAAATTAAGATAAAACAAAATTTTTTACTGAAACCCGATTTTTAAAGTAAATCGAAAAAAAAATCGTAGATTCATGCGATTTTCACTGAATATCTCTATCCGCATTCTCAATAAAACATAAAATTTGACTTGTTATTTTTGACTCGTATTGAACTATTTATATGAAATTTTCGATTATTATTTGTTAATTTTTTTAAACTAATGTCGATAAAAAATCATGATTTTACGCTCGGTCAAAAAAATTAAAAATGTAGTACAAGGTTAATCATAAGTTCTTATTAATTTAAATAAAAAAAACCTGGGCTTACGCTCAAAAATATTTTTTTATGAGCATTTGAATTCAGGATTTTGACAAAATTCGTAAAATAAAAAAATTATTTTGAGTTAGAAATACACAAAAAAATTTCTTTTTATATCTAGAATTTAAATATGTAGTACAAGATTTCTTACAAATTTGTTTACCTTTGTCAAAAAAAAAATTCTACCGGAAATTCAAATAAAATTTTTATTGCGTTAGAAGTTGAAATTTTTGCAGAATTGGATTTTACTGGATTTCTCTTGTAGCGATTTTCTTATTTTGTCGTGATTCAAAAAAGAATTGATCGTAGACACTTGAAATTTACACCATATGTTTATTTTATCAATTCTGTAGTCTTATACTTGATATCATTTTCAAAATATTTTGACTCGTTTTGAGCTGTTTATGGATATTTTAAATTTTTTTTCAGTTTTTTTTTTATAAAATAAATGTCAATACAATTTTATTCGTTGGGTCAAAAAGATTGAAA